GTGTTTCCAAGTCTGTGGAGTCTGGTCATCGCAGGGACAGCGGTCATCTGCGACGATATGGAAACGATGTAGGTATTCCTTATGATAACCGTGGTTGGTTAAGACCTGGGTGGTGGCAAAGTCCGGCCGAACGATCTTTATGAACTCCTGCAAGGTGTTGTATGTTGGCAGGAGAGATCTTGTATGGACGCAGGTGTTCGGGTCCATATACAAAGTTTTGGCCGATTCTTTGCATTTTTGCCTATTTTGATGTTTAACGAGGCTGATGGGTACTCTTTGGAAGTCTGGTATTCTGCGCATTCTTGCAGCAGCCTTTGCTGCCAAGTCTGCTTCTTCGTTGCCATCGAATCCAGCGTGGGCCTTAATCCACGCGAATTCGATGGTATAGCCAGATGATCGGGCTTGGTGTAAGAGTTTATGGATGTTGACGGCGAAGCGGTTGTAGCTGCTGCCGTTTCGCAGCTCTGTAAGGCCAGACTTGCTGTCAGAGAGTATGAGTACATCCGTGAGGTGGTGGTCAATGATGTGTTTGCAAGCCATTTGCACGGCAAGCATTTCCGCCTGAAATACCGAACAGTCGTCATGAAGCTTGAACTTCTTGATGACTGATGGCTGAGTGTTGGCGGAGTCCTTAACGACAAAGGCAGCTCCAACTCGATCGTCAATTTTACTTCCGTCCGTGAATATAAGCCAGGTGTGATTGGCGCCCGCCTGAGTGAGCTCGGGTGTGGAGGTGATTTCCTCGAATCGTATGCCAATTCTGTCAGACGGGTGGAGTAATTTAGACGGAGGACATGGATTCTCGAGAGAGATTTCATGGGGCAAAAAAGATGTTACGCCGGAGAGTTTTGAGGTTTCCACGTCAGCAACCATGGCAACTTTTGCTGGGAGCGGAGTGAGCTGTGCAAGAGATATTGCAGCAGCGGTGCTAATCGTTCTGAATCCTCGAATGATTTTAATGGCGAACAGCCTTTGAACAGAGAGGAGACGCTGGACGATATATTTGTGTTTGATGGNTAACAGTTTATGTATACTGACGGCAAACCAGTTGTAGCTACTGCCGTTTCGCAGCTCTGTGAGGCCAGACTTGCTGTCGGAGAGGATGAGTACATCCGTGAGGTGGTGGTCGATGATATATTTACAAGCCATTTGCACGGCAAGCATTTCCGCTTGAAATACCGAACAGTCGTCATGAAGCTTGAGCTTCTTGATGACTGATGGCTGAGTGTTAGCGGAANTCATAAGATTACTAGTATTTTTGAAGTATTTCGACAATTAAAATCTCTTACACCAGAAGAGATTTTGGAAAAATCCTTAAGTATGGTCAGTGCTTACGAGGATGATTTGGAGAACAGCCTAGGTGGCGAATTAGTACAGTTTGCAGAGCTGCTGAAAACAGAATCAGATGTGGCTACTGTTATTGACAGCAAAAAACCGGAGCCTCTGGAGCAGCAATTTTATAAACTTTTAATAAATAATTCTTTAGAATCGTGTTTTCAAAACTTAGAAATTGCCTTGCGCATTTACATGCCTCTCATGATCACTAACTGCAGTGGCGAACGTTCTTTTTCAACATTAAAACGTATTAAAAATGAATTAAGGAACACGATGGGACAAGAACGTCTTAATCATCTTACTTTATTGAATATAGAGCATGATTTGCTTAAAGAAGTTGATATTTTTTTGTTTTTTTTTTGTTAGTGAGTGTTATTGAGATACACATGCAATGGTAGCTAGTGGAGTACTTCCAGCAGCGGTGCTGATCGTTCTGAATCCCCGAATGATTTTGATAGCGAACAGCCTTTGAAGAGAGAGTAGACGCTGGACGATATATTTGTGTTTGATGATTGAAAGTGTTATCTCTAAATTTGCTCACATTAAATCAAGAAAAGTTCATTTGTAACAGTTTTGTTTCATTTAATACCCTAAACTTGAGAACCTAAAGCAAACCAAGGGCCCCTTGATAGAAATTTGCTACAGGCCCCGCGCTAGCTTAATCCGGCACTGTATAAATTACACAATTTATGCTGTAATCGATTTTATTTTGAGAAAATCTTGAATATTTTATAACGAGGACAATGTACTGTAATCATTTTAACCACTAGACAATATTTCTTTCTTTCAAAAATCTACTATAATTAAATTAGTTTATCAAATAGCAACACTAAAAATAGCAAATGTCATTAGAAGGTTCTTTTAAATGTCTCCGTTACAGTTAAAATAAAATAAAATTTTAAATAATCTTATTTTGCTGTTTAGTTAAGAGTTTGTAATGTCACAAGTTTACGCATTTTTCTAAAATAATTTTAAATAAATCTTAGATTATTTAAGAGACGTGACCACTGAAAACTTTATTTTATAGAGAGTACATTTCATTAATATTTTTAAACTTGCCTACATAAAATACCTTCATAAGAGTATAAACCGCTCATTTTCTGATGTCCTCCCAATGACAAATAGTACAAAGAATAATAACCCTTACGGCTATGAAAATAAAGCACAAATATTTTGGTAGTAACTCAGGAAAATATGAAATTCAATTTAATTTCCTTAAACTAACTTTGGCTGACTTGGCTGCTGGACCAAAACATTTATCAAAATATTGATAATTTTTATATATTTTAATGAGTATCTCTTGTTTATTTAGTGAATTCAAATCCTAAAAACAATGTCTGAACCGTCTAGTCAACAAATTCCTGGCCTGGCGCAAAAGAAAGTGTTTAAAATAATAGTTTTAGGTGATTCAGGTGTTGGAAAAACTTGCCTCACTTACCGTTTCTGTGAGGGGCAGTTTCTGGATAAATCTGAGGCTACTATCGGTGTAGACTTCAGGGAACGAACTATTAGAATCGGCAATGAAGATATAAAGGTGATTGTTTTGTTGTTTACTTGTTGTTTTTTGCTGTAGTTCATATTGGTAACGGTGTCTTCTAATCTATTGCTTTAGCTCCAGTTGTGGGATACGGCGGGCCAAGAAAGGTTCCGCAAGTCGATGGTTCAGCATTATTACCGTAACGTGCATGCAGTGGTGATTGTGTATGATGTTACTAAGCCGGAGACATTTCATGTGAGTGTCCATTTCTAGTTAGATTTATTTATTCTAGGTTCTCTTGTAATTTTAACGAAACATTAATTAAAAGTCCAGTTTAGAAATTAAAGAAATAAAGTTGCCAGTTGTTGGCATGTACTTTTCGTTACCATCATCAAAATGGCATCAGACACAACTACAAAGATGTCACCGTGTTTAACTTGATGTGCCGTAGTTTCTGTAATAAAACTATTCAAACTACAGGCAAAAAAAATCGTCGAAAAATAAATTCTTTCCATTGTTGTCTGTGTGCTGCTGTTTTAATTATTATAGTTATTGTGATAAGATAAATGTGATACATAAATTTATTGATGAGCAACACTTCAGAAGTTGGCTTTAATTAAAACATACAATAACTTTGTTCTTAATACATTAGTAAGTTGGGGAATTGCCATTGGGATGGTTCCTTCCTAGGTTCAAGTCCTACCTATGGCAGTCCATTTTTTCAGTTGATCTTAGATTATTATCAAATGTAAAATTTGTAGTCACTATTGATGATTGATTGAATGTCTTTTGTAAGTGTTTACTTATGTGCCTTATTTTTAAGGAATTTTTATTCATAAATTACTAATTTTTTTTTTAATTATTTAACAACTAAAAAGACAATTACAAAGGGTTACATTTAGATAGCTTTAGAAACCACTAGGGTTTGAAATAAAGCTAACGAGTTCACAATAGGTACCTACATTCATATACAATTACATAATACAGCTAATAAATTATTTTAATATTGCTGTATTAGCTGAAAATACACTCGACATCAAATAAACCGCACCTTCCACGACGCGAACTTTAAAGATTTTCTTCTGACACAATCATGGTGCCCCAACAATATTAGTGTTATTTGAAAGCCCAATAAATATCCTCAAAGAAAAACACATTTAATTTCTTATTAAATAATTAACATATACCATAAATGTGACTTGAAAAAAGACACTTTGGGCTCACCTCTGGGATCAATTAGACCAATTTTTATGGTTATAAAACCAAATAATGATCTCACGTGTCCTCTTTAACAGATGGATAGCGATTAATTGCAACTTAACAGTTTTATAGCCATAAAAATTGGCGCAAGCGTAACTACTACCTATTTTTTTATTAAATGACTCTGGATCCTTCTAAAGACATCTTTTTGGGGTAAAAACCTTTCCTTTAATGAAATGAAGTTAAGAACTAGGCTTTTGAATGGTGTCAATATTGGTGGGATGTGGGGATGCATACGTTTGAAAGTGCTTGTCGCGGGAGGTGCGGTTTATTTGATGCCGAGTGTAGTTGCTTGCTTTAAATAACAAAACCACTGTCTGTCACAGTCGATAGTGAGCTGGATGCAAGAAGTGGAGTCCCACGGGCTGATGCGGTCGCCGCGCGTGCTGGTCGGCAACAAGTGCGACTGCGGCACGCCCGAGTCGCGGCTGGCCACCACGTATGCGCAGCGAGCCGCCGACAAGTATGGTATGCCGGTAAGATTGTCCAATGGAAACCAATATGTGTTACCAGTGATAACTTACGGCTCGGAAACGTAGCCTCTCACTATGGGCCTTATACAGAAGCTCAAAGTTGCACAGCGTGCTATGGTGTTTCTTTGCGAGATCGAATCAGAAATGAGGAGATCCGTAAACGAACCAAAGTCGCTAACATAGCCCGACGGATTAGCAAGCTGAAGTGGCAATGGGCAGGGCACATAGTACGCGGAACTGACGGCCGATGGGGACCGACGACATCGTAAAGGTAGCACGGAAGCGCTGGACGCAGGCCGCTACCAATCGATCAACATGGAAAGCATTGGGGGAGGCCTATGTTCAGCAGTGGACGTCCTATGCCTGAAATGATGATGATGATGATGATGAGATGACGGTGGCTTTCTCACCTTATGGACATGTCTAACTTTCTCAGATTAGATTGCAGAAATTCTGTGAGACGGTTTTATCAAATCTGTACCATGTCATCTGAGGGCCTAGTGTGAGTTTCGTGAGTTTACATCAAACGCGTTCACTAGTGAGCGCGTCAAAAAATGACATTAAATGTATGACGGATAGTACAGCGCCCCTAGCGGGAAACGTTCAAAAACTAAAATTTTCATACATTTTTTAATGATAGATCGCCCGGTGCTTTGTCCTGCTGGAAGCTCTTCTGGAAGGACTGGTTTTTTGTTCTAAACGTCCTGCCAGAAGATTATCGCAAGTCCTGCCCGCAGTACGCAATTTGTACGTGTTTGCTTGCTGGTCCTTCCAGCAGTACGGTGACCTTCAAATTTGAACTCATCCTCACCAGAAGTAGTAAACACTTGGTTAGTGTTTATTAAATAAAAAGTCATGTCGTAGAATCATTTTGTTTAACCAGTATTTTACTTTTCTTAATACAGGGTGACTTTTGTATCAGTATCCAAATTTTAATATAATAATCTATGAAGCGAAAGACAAAACACGTATTTTTTATTTTTGTATCGTCCAGTACAAAAATTTCAAAATAAAGCACCCCGAAACAGTCTGAAAAAACACTTACACCATGGTCACGGCTCACTCGCTTACGCACGCACACACGTACGCGCCTGCCCGCGCCGCATTTCATTCATTGCGATACGATTCATACTTTCACGGGATTAGGAGACCGTCAAAATGCAAAAGATTTCAAAGTGGTAATTAGTTTTAATTAAACAGACTTACTAATTTATGGTAGAAAAATTAAATACCTACGACAATAATTACGCTATCAAAAACAAAATAAAATCACCGAGAGTATCGGTAACACTACTTTTCTTGTGTACCTATTCGGGGGTATTTAAAAAGTTCATCATTATTTTCATGTGCAATAATTGAGATTGCTTACCAAACCTACCTAACCTAACTACAAACTAACAAATTATGAGAAGGTATTTTAATAATTGCCCAAAGTGCATACCATTTTTCTCCAGACAGACTTGCACGCTTTTGTACATTGTCTTTGAGTTTATTTAAAACTACAGTGTTATTTCGCACTTCGCGTCTCGTGTAGGTACTTACCTACTTGCTCGCGGATCTCGCTTCAGTTTGCCGCTAAAATCGTTCACCGGTTTGGCACTGTTGGGTTTAGTCCTTGGTTACGAAGTTGAGATATTCCTCTGGGCCCGGTTCAAACTCTCTCCACTTAAAACGTAGCACCGAATCATTATTTTCATAACACTCGCGCTGCGAATACATCGTTACGTTGACGGCGCGACGGAACGATCGGCGCGCGCAGCGATACGCGCGTCTCATAATGGGTTGCGCGGGCGACTGATTGAAGCGCCGCGCGGCCAGGCCGGCCGGTCGAGCGTTGCCACACGTTGCCAGCTCTCCGCTCGACCAGCTCTCCCGCAAAATGTTTACGCGCTAAGCGCGGTAACCACACTACGTTATTAATTGGTTAGGAAAAAAATAGTTGATGTTAAAATTTGACCTACCTATTTTTTATTAAAAATGTCATCTATAAACGATACCTAATGTCAGGAAAAAATTTGGATACTGATACAAAAGTCACCCTGTATATTATAAACTTGTTTATCTTCTTTCAACTTAACTAATAGGAACTATAATAAGGAACTTTAAATTAATTACTTTGGTACGTCACTTTGTATTAGAAATTACACCTATCACTTACAAATACACTACAAATTAAAAACAAAAACAAGAAATAAATTATAAATGTTTGATTAGGCTGGAATACTTCACATTCATTATAATATAATCGCCAAAATGTTGCCGACTCCACGCCCGGCGCGTCAAAATGTGTCGCGCGAGCGCGAACGCGCTGCCCCCGTGTATACTCGTGCGCCATCGGGCTCCGACTAACGGTTAGTCGCGTTTTTCGATCTTGGGCACAATTGGGTGAAAGAGAGAGAAACACTCTATTTTTTCGTGTAAATTTGAAATTTGTACAATGTATACTTACGAAACTGTGATCTTTTAATTTTGCGTCCTACCGGAAGTACTTTAAGTCCTGCTGGCAGGACTCCGGGCGATCTATCATTAAACGCGCTCACTTGTGTGCGTTTGATTTAAACTCACACTCAGCCCACAGTATTCTAGATTGAAAGTCATTAGGACCTATGTGAATTTTAGTGTATTTTTGTATTTTCCAGTTGTTCGAGACATCAGCCCTGTTGGATTCAGAGTGTGACAATGTGGAGTCCATCTTCATGACACTAGCTCACAAGCTGTACTCCAAGCAGCCATTAAGAGTCGTCAGTGTTGCGGTAAGGCACTTTATTTTAAAAAAATATATATGTTACGGTTAATGTGATAAATTGAAAATCTATATATATAAAAATGAAACCCGTTTCGCGTTGTCACGGCATCACGTGTGAACGGCTGAACCGATTTCGATAATTCTTTTTTTAAAATGTTTGTGGAAGTCCAAGGATGGTTCATACGGAAAAAAAATTAAGAAAATCTCTACGCTAAGGCGGTACGAAGTTCGCCGGGTCAGCTAGTTATTAATAATAACCGGTTATTATGAATAATTACCGACAGTCGCGGTAAAAGTGATAAATTAATCACATATGACAGTGATTATTTAATAATTCAACCTTAGTACTAACAAATTTCATAAAAGAGAACAACATCTTGTGTACGTGCTCGTGTACAGCCAAACTTTTGAACGTTTTGATATCATATATTAATATAATTTGGCATAATGAGTTTGGAATGTTTCTTGCATAATATTACTTTTCCATGATGCCTATAACATAATGTTTTGATTTAAAGTGAAAAATAGGTTAAGGTGCGGCGGGGGTGGCCCATGGGCCACCCCTAAGTCGCCTATTTAGTTTTATACACACATAAATGACCTCATATTAATCACATTTACCAAATCATGCGGTAATTATTCATAATAACCGGTGATTATTCATAATTTTCACATTTATCACGTTGATATATTATAAACTTGTTTATCTTCTTTCAACTTAACTAATAGGAACTATAATAAGGAACTTTAAATTAATTACTTTGGTACGTCACTTTGTATTAGAAATTACACCTATCACTTACAAATACACTACAAATTAAAAACAAAAACAAGAAATAAATTATAAATGTTTGATTAGGCTGGAATACTTCACATTCATTATAATATAATCGCCAAAATGTTGCCGACTCCACGCCCGGCGCGTCAAAATGTGTCGCGCGAGCGCGAACGCGCTGCCCCCGTGTATACTCGTGCGCCATCGGGCTCCGACTAACGGTTAGTCGCGTTTTTCGATCTTGGGCACAATTGGGTGAAAGAGAGAGAAACACTCTATTTTTTCGTGTAAATTTGAAATTTGTACAATGTATACTTACGAAACTGTGATCTTTTAATTTTGCGTCCTACCGGAAGTACTTTAAGTCCTGCTGGCAGGACTCCGGGCGATCTATCATTAAACGCGCTCACTTGTGTGCGTTTGATTTAAACTCACACTCAGCCCACAGTATTCTAGATTGAAAGTCATTAGGACCTATGTGAATTTTAGTGTATTTTTGTATTTTCCAGTTGTTCGAGACATCAGCCCTGTTGGATTCAGAGTGTGACAATGTGGAGTCCATCTTCATGACACTAGCTCACAAGCTGTACTCCAAGCAGCCATTAAGAGTCGTCAGTGTTGCGGTAAGGCACTTTATTTTAAAAAAATATATATGTTACGGTTAATGTGATAAATTGAAAATCTATATATATAAAAATGAAACCCGTTTCGCGTTGTCACGGCATCACGTGTGAACGGCTGAACCGATTTCGATAATTCTTTTTTTAAAATGTTTGTGGAAGTCCAAGGATGGTTCATACGGAAAAAAAATTAAGAAAATCTCTACGCTAAGGCGGTACGAAGTTCGCCGGGTCAGCTAGTTATTAATAATAACCGGTTATTATGAATAATTACCGACAGTCGCGGTAAAAGTGATAAATTAATCACATATGACAGTGATTATTTAATAATTCAACCTTAGTACTAACAAATTTCATAAAAGAGAACAACATCTTGTGTACGTGCTCGTGTACAGCCAAACTTTTGAACGTTTTGATATCATATATTAATATAATTTGGCATAATGAGTTTGGAATGTTTCTTGCATAATATTACTTTTCCATGATGCCTATAACATAATGTTTTGATTTAAAGTGAAAAATAGGTTAAGGTGCGGCGGGGGTGGCCCATGGGCCACCCCTAAGTCGCCTATTTAGTTTTATACACACATAAATGACCTCATATTAATCACATTTACCAAATCATGCGGTAATTATTCATAATAACCGGTGATTATTCATAATTTTCACATTTATCACGTTGACCGTAACATATACATTTAGTACATAGTGCAATATACTCACCTAAATTCCACTGTGTATTTAGTATTTTATTATTGCTAAGTTTCTGGAATGGAGGCCACGTACCGGAAAACGTAGCGTGGGACGTCCACCCACAAGGTGGACCGACGACCTGATAAAGGTAGCGGGAAGGCGCTGGATGCAGGCCGCTACCAACCGTGCGATGTGGAAGTCATTGGGGGAGGTCTATGTTCAGCAGTGGACGTCCTGTGGCTGAAATGATGATGATGATGATGAAGTAAAATAATCTTAATATGATTAAAAAAAATAGTGGCTGTTTCAAAATTGCTGAATTGTGCATTGACTTATGGTACTATGCTGCTTTTTAGCATTGTTATGTAATTTTATTTTCAATTGCAAACAGTCAGAATCTGTGTGAATAGTTTGTGCATCTTAAAAAAGATTTTTAAAACTGAATATCTTATTCCAGGGCGAGCAAGGCTACGGCGTAGTGACGCTGCCGCGCCAGAAGAGCCGGCCGGCGCACGCGCACGGAGACAGCTGCCTCTGCAGCTAGGCCACGCCCCCTCCGCCTGCCAAGCCCCGCCCCCGCGCTGCCAAGCCCCGCCCCCGCGCTGCCAAGCCCCGCCCCCGCCGCCTGCGCAGCTATGCCTCGCCCACAGGCATCACAGCAGCTAGAGTCCGCTATATACGTCCAATACGTCCATGTATCCAAGCTTCCCGAAGTTGTGTAGCTGTTTGTTCTCTTCATTCATCTTTTCTTAAAGGTTTTAAACCTTTGTTTGTCACCCGTCATCCGCTTTGCAATGAAGGGAAGTCTACCCTTAATTTCGAACTCCTCCTATGTTCTTCTGATTAATTTCGTTGCGGGTCCAATGACAGTTTAACTTTCCCCCGGGACAAACTTGACCTTCATTGGTTGGGTTTTTGTGGCGGTCAAGCTGTAGATCCTGGCTACACAGGAGTTGCAGTGGTGGGAACGAGAGGTGGGAATAGTCCCGTTTTAGCTGTTTATTCGTTCGGTCGTTTTAGCCAAACAATTTCTATTCCTGGACACTTAGGTATGATGCCCATTGACCGGCGCGCGTCGAAGCGCGTCGGAGCGCACTTACACGGCCGTAAAGAAAATAGTATTTTATTAACAGTTCTTACGGCCGAATACTGAAACGCCATTTAAATATTTGACGGCTTCTCAAATAGTTAAGCAGCTCCTAAACTTACATTTCGCATACTCAAAACAATATCTGAGCAGTTCTCAATTTTTAAGCACCTCTCAAATTAAGTTGCACTCAAACGCCACTTAAATGAATTTTCGCATACTGAAACGCCATTCAACGCTAAGCATTACTCAAACAACTGTCAAATCGTCTTAAGCAGCTGTTAAATTTGAGAGTGCTTGCGCGGTATCTTAAATCCTATTGTTATACCTAAAACGACCTAAATAGTGGTAAATAATGTGTGTCATCGTTATCATTTCTTTCGAGCCTCGAGGAAATACCTAGATCTAATCGCAGGAACGCAATAAGGCTGAACGCTATTGAAAAATATTATTATAATGACATGCAATTCCGAGCGAGGTTCCGCGTCTCTAAAGAAACGGTGTTGTTTCTGGATTCATAATTTGGAAGCTCTTTGAAACCCCTCACCAAATGCCATACAACCAGTGGACCAAATACTTATTATAACCCTACTGTTCTACGCAACGGGAAGTTATGAACGTGTACTAGGTGATATCTTCCACATCTAACAGCCAACTGTGCATCGTATAGTGCACGAAGTAACAACCAAAATAGCTGCTATGAAATCGCTTTACATAAACATGCCTATTTCTGAGGATTAAGGGGACATCGCATAGCAGCATTTCCAAGAGTTGTTGATTTGTCAATTTGATGCTCTGTCAGTCAACAATGATAAATGTCAATTGTGGTTACGTTTCGGTCCACGATCGCCACTTAATAGATTTCAACAATAAAAAGTATCATATTTAAAATTATTTTTTTAATTAAATAAAAATGCAAGCATTATTATTTTTATATGATAAAACGAGATTTATATATAATAGAAACTAAAAATAAACTGTTCTATGTTAAGTTGATTGAGTATATTTCCATAAAAGACAATACATAACCAAACGATGCTGCGTGTAATGGATAAAAGATGATAACTTATCATTTGTGTAAATGAAAACATACTTTTTTTGGTAAATGTTGCCATTATGTAAACATTTGAGAGCTGCTTAGCTGATCACGGCTTCAAATCCGTTGAGTAGCGTTTGAGAATACCATTTAAAATTGAAGGATACTTAAATTTAGGAGCCCGTCAGCTGAGTGACAGATTTGAGTAGTGTTTCAGTATTCGGCCGTTAGAGTCGTAATTGCCTACAACTGATTAACTGACATTTCAATCCGGACGGATGCGCGAGCATGCGTTGGATGCCGGTCGGCTCGGAGCGTATTCCACCACATTTTTGACCGACTAGCGCCGGTCAATGTAAATCCTGCCTTACAGGCTGCTTTATACGTCCATAAATCCAAGCTTCACTTATAATAACGGTGTAGCTAAACCGTTCGTTCGTTTCTACCAAAGGACACCCACTGTTAGACAAAAGTCTCCCCAAGTATTACTATAACGACCTGTCCTGCGCCACCTAGAAGGCTAGGACTTAGCACTAGTTAAGTGCTAGATCGTGCGTAAACTCTGTGCACGCACACATCGAGACGTATGCAAGCCCAACTTCCATTTTATACAGTAAATACTATGTATACAGTCAGCGTCAAATAGTTGGTGACACCCAAAATAGCCAAAAAGGTCGCAACACGTCTTTGTTACATTTGAATAAGATTGTGTTGTCAACTTTTTGGCCACTTTGGGTGTCACCAGGCCTGTTCATCTCCGCGAGTTTACATCGAAAACAAAACACGCACGATGGCCCACCTACAGGATACTATTCGACAAGGCCTCACATACGAGCGAACATTGACTCACGCACGCGTATTCTTGTGTATGATGGAAGAAAATAAAGAAAATGGTGTACTAAATACTGTGCAGTATTTAACTGCCTAAATAATAATAAAAACACAATGTACTTTTTTAAGTTGCCTCATGACACTGAGAGGCAAATAAGTATTTAATATTATTCATGATAATTCATGTATTTCCTCCGCCATTTTCCGCAGTTTGGCACCTCACGTCACATCATTTTAGCGAAGTCAGCCCTATAGCTTCGGCGCAGTGCCGATCACTGACGTTTGTCAACAAAATGGTGCTTGACTCTTGAGACAGGCTAAATTACACCATATTGTTAATGACATTGAGCATACATTTTTTTAAATACCTTCGCGAAGTAAAACTTCTGTACGTAGTACTTATTATTATTCTGTGGTGTCACGAACTATTTGACGCTGACTGTACCGAACCGGTTCTCGCAAGCCCTCGGGATGTGGCCTAAAACGAAGTAAAGTAAAAAGTATTTTATTGCCAACAAAAAGTAACTAGCGGCTGCTGCACTAAGCTGTGCTTGTGTCGCGGCAGCTATAAGTAACACAGGTTAACATTGTTGATTAAATATTATTAATAAAGTCCGAGCTTTCTAAGGCCCTTTGGCCCGCAGAATGAAGATTGCTAAAGGCTTGAGTACTTTATGAGTTTATATCAAACGTCCTCAATCCTCACTAGTGAGCGCGTTAAAAAATATATGAAAATTTTAGTTCATGAAAGTGTCCGCTAGGGGCGCTGTACAATCCGTCATACATTTTTTTACGCGCTGTCTGTACTCTGTACTCACTTCTCAATGCATTTGAAACTGAAAAAGCTCTCTTTTAAGTTTTAGCGACCAGCGAGCGTCCTTCGAAAAAAAAATAATATGGCCTATTTTATGTTCAATTATTAATTGCATTTAAATGGTACGAAATTTAGAATGTAGGCATTAAAAATTATTTATTTGAGTTTTCGGATATGTTAGAAAACTTATCTATGATGCAATTTTCGCCAAAAAATCGTAAAATACTTGCAATTAAGCTGTAGTAAAGTAAACTAGTTGAAGGCCCAAAGTTGATTACAAAAAGTGCAATAAAAATGTATTTGAATAAAAGACAATGCAACTAAATCCGTCTACGACTACGCCCGCCCTCTAGTGTTAGTGAAAATGTGCACGTGCAGCTTTTAGCTTATACATATTATGTAATTTTTAGTTAGTTGCTAAATGAAAACTTCAAGAAATAAAACAGTTTAATAAAGGCTAGTATCCCTACTTAACAGAAAAGAAACCAATAAAAATAGGTACCTATATGTCAAAAATATTTTTGAACTTGTTTACGTTTTTTATTGATCTCTTAAAGTAGGTACCTATTGGCATTTTTAAAAACGATTTAAGACTAAAATCCTTTTTAAAGTATTACTTAGTTAAAATGACGAAATTAAATTCTACTTTACAAAATCCTTAAAATGTATAAAATGTGCCAAAACCATTGCAGTACTTTTCTTATTATTCTGAATATTACGTAAACTTACATAGTAATAACTAGTATTAAAAGTTGACTATGTTTTACGTGTAAGAAAGTTGACTAATATTGTGAAGTTCTGTGGACCGTGAACTAATAAGAGGTCTAATAAGATCTCTTATACCCGTTTTCACCATAAAAATTAAGGTAACACATAACAGGATTTTTTTTCATAAGTCACTTAATTTTTTTTAATATTGAAGGTGAAAACGGACATTATTCTGCTAATAATTAGCAATTAACACCACAAAAGCATCATTTGGTTAACTAGAATCTTATGTATCCCATACACGATATTTATTTATAACTTATTGCCTTGTATTACGCTCCAAAAACTATGAACTGTTGAATTTTCTAAGCCTAAAGCCTAAACATACATGCAGTGTCGCTTACCCTAGTGATTTCAACAAACCTTTAATTTAGTTAGGAAAGTGAAGGTACGTTGAGAACCAGTGTTCCAAGTCTACTATTGCAGTTACCCAGTATTTTTTCTACTGGTTGAAGTAGAATAAGGTGAAAAATAACCATCATGTTTATGTGCTTGTTCATTTATGGCAATAGTATTGTTTAGTTGTGTATTTAATCATTTGATATAATTAGAACGTGTGCTTCTGTAAAGTGTCTATTAAAAAGTTCGGAGTGTCGCATTTTAGACCAGTGTATCCCCAAATATAGTTTTTTTTAGGAATTTTGTACGTTCTAATCATCATCATTATTAATTTGACGGCTGATAAGTCCACGCGTACGAATTGGCAGGAACTAGAAAATAAGTGTTCAGAATTGAGTCCCTTATAAAGGCCGAATTTACAAAGAAATTATAAAGTTAACAATACGGAGTAAAAGCCTCATTTTTGGTAGAGAACGCTAGAAACGTAAATAAACATACTTTTAACGAATTTTCCGTTTGGCAGCTAAAAGTCTAAGGCCCAGAACAGACGGTGAAACGAAACTGCAACTGCTAGTTACTTTTGAGTTGTATCTAAGTTTCTACCATAGCGTCCGTAGAGACCACACATGACGCGACCAGTTTGAAACTTTCAGTTTCAGTTTCATTCATCAGAATCATCACAAAGTTGGAGTTTCGTTGCAGTTGCGTTTCACCGTCT